TAGCGTCCTTGCTCCTAGTAGCGATGCCAGGAGCCCCTAGTAGCTTCGCTCCTCTGGCCTTGCTACTACGAGCAAGGACGCTACTAGGGGCTCCTGGCATTACTACTACGAGCAAGGACGCTACTTTCTTTCGCGGTCATCTCCTGTGCGGAGCGATGGGGCTACGTGAGTTGCCTCACGGAGGACTATGTCGCCTCTTGCCATCTGCTTCAAAATTCGATCTTCGATCGATTGCTATCATGATCTTAGTTCATGTCCATACCTAGCCAGGCGCTCAAGGTGTCAGGTGCGGCCTCTTCCAATCCAGCAGTCAGCCCATCCGCTCGGCGTGCCGTGCCAAAGATGGCGCCTTGATGGCGCAGTTCATGCTCATGGAAGTCCTTGGCCACTGCATAGTTGAGAGCAGCAGCGCAGTGGTGAGTGGGAAGCCATCTCAATCCTTCAACCAGTTGCGGAGCCGCTCCACAGAGAAGGCACGGTGTTTCGAGACCTCGGTAGTCAAGCCCAGTTGCAGCGAAGGTGTCGAGCATGACCTTGCGAGCCGGAGGGTGCCTCTGATAGACATGCTTGACCAGACTTCGGAGATCCATGAAGAGTTGGCCGCATGCGCCACAGTGCGTTGAGAAGTGTCGGGTCAGCGCTTCGTGAGATTCAAGGTCCTGCCATCGTCGCTCATCAAGAAGGCGAATTAGCTGATGGACCTTAGCAGCATGATTCCGTACATAGTACGAGGGCGTCACCTCCTTAGCTCGCGTGGCCCGAAGCAGCCAGACACAGATCCAGTCCTCAGGACGTGGGGGGCGTCCACTGGGATGGACTGAGGCCTCTATCCCGTCTTCGAACACGATCCAGCCTTGGCGGGTGCGTCCAACACATTGCAGGTGTCCTTGCTGATCGGATCCCCTGTGCAGAATTCCAGCAATTGGGAGGTACTCATGGGTTTCAGTATGGAGACTGTCTCGGTCCGGGGACACCAAGATCTCAACCATCGTCAGTTCCAGGGTCCAGGATGCTTTCTCCACCTTACCTCGGAAGTCAGGGCGAAAGCGGTCAAGCTGAAAGCAAATCAGAGGGCTGTCGGTTTCGAAGGCTGTGATCATACCCATATATGTGTGCCACTCATTGACCAAGGTTTGCAGCGAGACTTTTT